TTTTTATTTTAATTCCTATTTTTTTTACATTTTTATTATGAAGTATAAATTTATAAATATTGTTATTATTTTTATGTTTTTATTATAAATGAAACATAAAGTAGTTTGGTTCAGTTCGGTTTTGTCTTTAAAGTTTTGTAGCCACGGTTTGTTTGGTTCGGTTTATTTCATTTTGGTTCCAGTTTATTTCGCTTTGGTTTTACTATTACTACTAATTAATGGTAATATAATAAAAAAACATTTCAAAAAAAAGACAAGAATCAAATGCACTTTCAAGCAATGAATTAGAGAGTGTATACCTCCTTACACATTTTTTTTAAAATAATTAAATGCATAAATTCATGTATGACACACACATGTGTGTACTGTAGCTTCAAGTTAAACTTTAAGTCTTTAAATTGTAAAGATTGTTTTGAATAATTATTTTCTTTTTTTACTATTTTTTTATTGATGGTAAATAATTTATTCTACTATCTTTTCAGAAAAAGATGTAAGTGTTGTAAAGTGTCATGGTTTGTTTTGTTTTGTGCTTAGTTGTTTGAAAGTAATTATGATCTGGTATTTTCTTGGACAACAAGGTAAATTATGATCTGGTATTATGTGCAACAACAAGGTAAATTATGATTTAAATATCAACACATTAGCATGTTTTTACTTGGACTGGTATTTTCTGATCTGGTATGATCTGATCTGATCTGATCTAGCCTGAACTGATCTGGTCTATTAAACATCTGATCTCTCTGTATTTTATAACTGTCCAAGTTTAGTTTGATCTGGTTTGATCTAGTATGGACACGTTTGATCTGGTGTGGAACTGAAAACCGTCCAAGTAAAAACATTCTTAGTATTATAGCAAGAGACTAAAATGTATATACAAGTATTTCACATAATTAAACCATAATATCCGACGGATCATAATAAATCTAGTATCAAACATTAACTTTCTAGAATTAAGAACTAAATAAATTATTATACTTAATGATTAGTAAATACGGTGGGATATTTTAAAATTTTCGATTTGTTGGGTTAGGTTCAGTTTTTAGAGGTGAAAACCAAAACCGAAAGCCAACAAATGTGATTCAGTTCGGTTTCGATTTTCTTGTCGTTCGGTTTGTTTTGCTTACGATTGGTATTTTTTTTATTTGGTCTTCGGTTTTTTATTTCACCGACCTACCCCTAGTCCCCACATATTCTATTGAGTGAATTCTCCAAATAGGAATAAAACATAGGCAAAATGCAAAAATAAGAGTATGATGTTTTGAATATGAGTAACTTTAGTTTTTGGACAATTATACCCCCACCCAAGCCCCAAGCTCCAACCATTTTCATTAATAATTAAAATATAAAAGAAATAACATTAATTAATTTATAATAAAATTCTCAAAAAAATAAAAAACATGAAAATGTAAATTAAAAAATATATACTCCATATTAAATAAAATTAATAAAAATAAAAATTATTAAAATAATAAATGAAAAACTAAAAAAATTAAAATATTTAAAAAATGAAATAAAATAAAAAAAATAAATATGAAAGCCTCCGCCGCCGCCTTAACAACTTCCCAGCACCACCAGCTCCGATTACTGGGAAAAAATGCCAATATTTTTTAGAAATGCCATATGATGCCATTTTTCGAGAAAAATGGCGGTTTTTTTTTACATAAAATGACATTTTTTCACCGATCAAAGGTGGCATTGTTAGGTGGTGGTTGAGGCTGCTGGAAAGGCCTCCATAATTGTTTATATTTTTTAATGTGTTTTATCTATTTTTTTTATTTTTAATTTTTTTTAATAATAATAATATATTTTCATTTTAATTATTTTAATATTTTTAAATAGTATTTTTATTTTATTTTTTATTATTTTATTAGGATCAAAGAATTCGTATTTTAGAATTAATTAAGTTAGGGGTATTAAGTGTAGAAAATTAATGTTTACTCATATTTAAGGATGCTTTAAATTTAATGCCTACTTTACAATTATGTTTATTTTTACTTCTATATTGAGCAATTTCTATATTCTATTTAGCTCAAAGCCTCAAACAACTAAATCATGTCAAATAAACCTTAAAGATGGTAGGAGTTGAGTTTTTAGGTGTGAGCTGGCTTAGGTGCATTACTAGGCAGGATCGGTTTGGAGAAGTGAAATGGGCTATGCTTCGGTATGAAATGGGTTAGAAAAACTCTATAGTGGGCTAGGGCAGGCGTAAGCAGCTGGGTTCGGTTGATGAATCAGCCGAAGAGGAGGGTCCCACGTTACGTTGTTGAACCAACAAGGAGTAGGTTGGGCATAGGAAAAACAACTTTTGTTCACCCCTCAATTGATATGCCTATTCGTTTTTTCAATTATTATAACCTTTTCATTTATAATTCATTTTTTTATAAAAAAAATATATACGACGCATCATTTTTGTAAATTTTTTATGATTGATGGTACCATGGATTATAGTCATGGCTCAATTATGTAACTCAACCCATAAACGTGATCAGTCTTTAATGGGATTAGCCTAATTAACATGATTAGCCCATAAACGGGATCAGCCTTCAACGAGATTAGTCTAATTAACAGGATTAGCCCATAAACGGGATTTATATTAAATAAGCCGCATGGCCCATTAGAAATCAGGCCCACGATAGGAACCCACAGTCAGGCCGGGCTGGACAGCAAACCTCGAGCCTGGGCAGAGTTCTAGTGAGGCCGGGATATTCCTAGGGCCTATGTGGCAAGCTATCATTCGATGAAAGATATTTGGCAACAGGCATGACTTGATCGGAATTAAGAGATGATTATTGCGTGAGGATGAAGCACGAAAAGGAGTTCTATTTCGAGCAAGAATATAGTTCCTTAATTAAGCATTTATTGTATTAGATTCTTCCCATAATCCTACCTCCCAATCTCTATAAATACTTCATGTAAACACCCTACCAAGGGATCAGTAATTCGTTTTCCGGAATAAGAGTAATATTGCCTTTCGCTGCCATATTATTTCGATATTATTTCTATACTCTATGTATATTTAGCTCTCGTAGTTGGATTAAATTTCATCAATGATCTTTCATATGATACAAATATTGCATATGTAAAATAAAAACAAATTCGGACAAAATTAGATATTTGAAAAAGATAAAAAAAATCTATTTTGCCGAACCACTTCGACGATCCAAGGAAATTTATCAGGGTGAGAAACCCTAGAGGTGCTGCGGCAGCCGAACTAAAATTCACGCCGGCGGAGCCTTTTACCTTCGATGTGACGTGAAGTAGAACACAGGAGAAGAGTGGAGGGCTTTGGATTTTGTATTAAGTTTTTGTGAAGCGTAGAAGATGATTTGTTGGACTACTCCGCCATGGAGACCGATTTTTCGTCAGTCAAAAAGGAGGAGGAGGACTGCATCGTCCCGGATTTGTGTCCTGTCTCTAGGGTTTCACTGCTAGAGTTTTATTTGTCCGCTATCGTCTCTTGGCGAGGAGCGGTGCCGTCTTCCGACAATTCGTTCGTGGATAGGGAGATTCGGCTGGAGGCGATTCAAGGGCAAATCAAGGCGATGAAGGAGGAAGATGAAGTGAAGGCGATCCGAGCACCTCCCAAACCGCAGCTGGTGGTTCTTGGAAGGTTTTATCTTTTTGCTTTTATTTATTTTAATGGTTTGAGTTTGTTTATGTTTGTTTGTTGTTTTATCTCGTTCAAGCGTAAGACTGTGGTTTTGGATTTGGGTGTGGGTGATGAAATGACTGCGGTAACCGTCTTTGGCTCATTTGTACCCATTAATGGATCATTGAGTTATATTATATTGCTGATGCGATAAACTCTGAGTCTGGTTTGAGAGACGGCGGTTGTCAGGAGTTTTTTGTCGGTTTACCTACTATCTAAATGATGCGCCTCTTTCTATTTTAAGCCAATTGGTAAACGATTTACTTGATTAATGGAGTTGTTGGTTTTGATGATAAAAAAAAGATAAAAAAAAATTCAAAATTTGAAAATGCATTATAAATATCATTGGAAAGATTATAAAAAGTTACTCCCTCCGTCCCATTAGGAGTTTCCAATTACGGTTTACAATGATTGACTGACGATAAAACAACTCAATCCCTGTTCACACTCTGATTATTTTTAGTAAATAAAATTTACATATTCAGAAACTACATTAAAACCGCTGCAAAGCCTGAAAAAAATTAAGTTTGATAAAAATTTGATATATAAAGCAAAAGATTAAGAATGATTTAAATGGGAATAATGGGCGAGAATCTTTAAATGGGACAGAAGGACTATTAAAGTGGGATACATTTTTTAAATTGGACTATAAATAAAAGAAGTTATAACTTATAAGAACTTCACAAAATTTGATATGTCAAATTGCATGGACGAAGGGGTAGCTACGTGGTACGGTTTGAGGCAATGATGGACAAAAAAGAAATAGGCAAATGATTCCAACAAAGTTGACATGATTGGAAACCTAGACATGGTCGGAAGATTGATCAAGGTAAATAAAGTTACAACTTACAAATGGGTAGCTACGTGGTACACTTGAAAATTGAAATTAGGTAAAAAAGTCTTTAACATATGCGTAAAAAGATAACTCCGTATAATGTTTTTGGGCTGGCACACCTGGAGCGTGTTTGGTAAGGTCGAATTAGCCGATTCGGCTGAAATTAATGAATTTCTGGCTGAAGTGATTGTATTTGCTGGTTCTGCTAATTCATGAAAAAATAATATTTAAAATATTTGATATTGTTAAATTAAATAAAAAATTACATGGAAAAATAGCTAAAATGATCATTTACGGTAACTTCAGCCAATAAAGCCAGAAAAGTAACTCTAACCTTACTTTTTCTGCTTGTTACAAAATTCAGCGCGCGAAATTAAAAGTTACGTGTTTGGTGAAAAACCTGGCTAATAAGCCGGAAAAAGGGTCACCAAACGGGCTCCTCTTATGGCTACACAGGTAGCTACATTGGATGAGAGAATAATTAACAAAGACACATGAGGGATCGGAGTTCATGTTTGCAAACCCAGAGAGAGAATCCAAGGTAGTATAGACCATAGGTGTCCATAGACCGGTTTCGAGCCTATTCCCCGTCCCAGACCAGCTGGTCCTGGGGGATGTGGAACCGAGACCGACATCGATAATTTCAGTTCAGGGTCAGTTCTTATCGATCGGTTGGTCCTAATCCTGTCTTTGTCGGTGTTTTATTTATTTATAATGCCATTAAGATATTTATTATACTGCGTAATTATTTAAATAAAATTGTAACAATGAAGTAAATATATTTAGACATTTTTTTCCAAATTTTAAACGATTATAAATATCAAAATAGCGAATGACTACAATACTACAATGGTAGATATAAAGTCTTGTCATAACACATTTACCACAAGGTACACAAGAAGACTTTTTATGAACTCTGGAAGGGAAGAAAATCAAATATAGGCTATTTCAATGTATTTGGATGCAAATGCTACATCCACAATAATGGAAAAGCCCATCTCAAACCCTTTGATCCAAAGTCAGATGAAGAGATCTTTCCGTGAAACTCTCTCATCAACAGGGTTTTCAGAATCCTCAACAAGAGAAACATGGTAGTGGAGGAATGGATTCATGTTGTCTTTAAAGATAGCTTAGTGAAAGAGAAAGCTGAAAAGGTTAGAAATATCAGCCATTCAGATCCTAAAGACGATAAGAAGGCTCCCAGATGCATCCCAAAGGAACTTGATAAGAGCAGTAGGCTGCTGCCAACAACGGGCTCAGTCAAGTGCCTCAACAAAGATGAATCAAAAGGGTCTAGCAGCAGTAAAGTAGAACCCCTTCAAACCCAGATACAAGACGAAAGTGATCTAAATGAGATTTTTGTTATGAACCGTCTCATGTTTGCCAGTATCTAACGTTTAAACATTTTGAATCTATGTATTCTACTACTAGTTTATGTAATTTTAAATTAAAAAGTTGTTTAAAGTTTTGGATTATGACTAAACTTTGATGCATTCATGGATAGAAGTATTTAAATTTGTTTTATGTTTAACTTTTTAGTGTCTTATTGAACCATTAAAAATGGCATTGTTTGATATCTCTATGGCATGGTACGTACCATCCTGCTTGCAAACGGAATGGTACCGAACAGTTGTGGTTCTAAAACTGAACCAAACCGTACCTTTAAATAGTCATGGAAACATGTAGGATTCGGCAATATATTGAACCGTCCCGGACTATGATCACCCCTAAATGCCCCTAATTTTAAATACAAATATTAAATGTTTAAGAGAAAACACATAATCAGGATCATAACTCTATGATAGCGGCATGTCTCATGAAATGAGGACTTCATTTTAGATTTAAGGTGTAAAAATACAGTATAAACCAGATCATTATAATTGAATGATAGTAGGGGGCGCTTTTAATTTACTTCATTGCCAATACTAGAGACAAAAGAATCTCATTCTCACACAGCATTCCCTTGAATTTCTGGTTTAGATGTTGTTTTTAAGTCTTTTATGTCCCTTTCCAATTGATCACTTATGTTTGTCAATAATATAAAACATGAACTCTTCTTCAATTAGGCCAAAAGATTTGACCATAATGATATCTAGGTTGTTCCTTTTATAGATTCAGACTATACTGATATAAAAAAAAATTCTATATTCAGACTATATATATTCAGACTATACTGATATAGAGTGAGGATAGAGAAAGTATGGATTCATCTTTCAAGCGATTTTTTTAGAAGTTATAGTTCTATGTGGAGAAAATTGTATGTTCTTGAAGAGTGAGAGCAAGAGAGATGAAGAGAGGAAATATGCGTGTACAAAGTTCAATCTAGAAGTAAATACTAGCTCTCTCCAAGTATCATGAGCTTTCTTCTTAGTTGTTTGAACAGTTGGGACTCTCCCAAATTTTTATCACTCCAGGGGTGTATGGGGGAGGACCGCTTCCTCGGACTCTCCCAACTTTGCCAATCTATTTTGCCTTAATTTTCTAGTCATTAGGCACTTGTCCTAAGTAGAATAAGTAAACGGCCACATATAAAGATTGTCACTGCACTGAATGTAGGATGTTTTTTTAGATCCTATATCAGGCTTAAACATATCAGATCAAATACACAAAGACAAGACGTTTACCAAACCAATTCAAAACAGACTAAATCAAGCTTAAACAGACCAAATCATCAAATTTAAGTGTCCAAGTACAAACATCCTAGTCCGGAAAGGGATTCCACAGGAAAAGGGATAAAGCCAAAATATTAGGAACCATAACGGCGAAGAAAGGGTGTAACCTTCTTGCAAGGGGCCTCCTCCTCACCCTTTTCATGGCGTACTCTCGCTTCTCTTCATCCCCCCAATTAGCCGCCTCCAGCCCTTTGGCAAGCACCACCGGCGGCGGCTGAGAGTACGGACATTGGGACCTCCATGAGGTTTCCGGCGCGGTCAATCTGTTGAGGAATCGGGAGAGAGCCCATTTGCGGAGGAGAGGTCTGGGGCAGAGAAGTGGTGGGTAGTGCCAGTTGAGGTAGCAGGGGACTTGGGTGGAGATGAAGAACTGGGAGTAGAGCGGGGGTGGCGTGGGTTCAGGGCTGCTTATGATGTGGGTTAGGACATGGTGCCTCTGCTCCCATTCTATGTCTTCCATGCCTTCTCATTCTTTCTTTCTATGGCTCCTCAAAATAAGAGAATTTGGGGGTTTTCTGTGTTTGGAATTTAAGAGGAAAATGACAAACATACAGTTTTTAATTGGTCCCTCAAAACACACAATGAGATCATATTGTCCTTCAAACCTAATCTCATAATCCCCACAAACACTTATTCTCATAAGTGACATCTTTTTGTGATTCTTATCTCATCTATTCATGCAAATATTATAGTTAGAGCAACTCCAACAAGCACCAAATCCTATAACAAAGTGGTGGATTTGGCAAAAAAAATGCCCCAATAGTCACACCATCCCTTACACCATTACACCATTTTGGGGGAGAAGCTTTTGCTTTACACCAAATATGGCGTACACCATATCTCACGCCATCCTCTTTTTTTAATTTTTTTATTTCAAATGTGACCCAAAATTTTGATTGTATAGTTTTGACCCAATTTAAAACAACAAATTAGTATGTTTTTACTTGGACTGAAATTTGTTTGTCTGCTCTGGTTTGGTCTGATTTGGTCTGGTCTGAACTGATGTGGCCAGGTCTGATTTCTTTGTATTTTTATAACTACCCAAGTCTAGTCTAATCCGGTCTGATCTGATCTGAAACAAATTACAGTCCAAGTAAAAACATCCTTCTAGAACAACAAATTAAAATTATTAATTTGATAGAAAAAAATATAATAAAATTTAAATCACACAATATTATAAATAAAGTTTCAAATCCAAACAACATAATAACAGAATACAAATGATACTTAAGAAAATAACATAATTAAAATTAAAATTAAAACATAATTAAAAACATACATAGTACATACTAATTTAGAAATTAGTAGTCATTCAACCCGCTTCCAGACCCTCCGAGACCATCAAATAGATTCCCAAATCCAGCTGATGATCCTCTTTGAGATTTTTTTTTTTGTAAAATTCTTGATCTTTCTGCAATGTAGTTTATTAATGACGTACAAATTATTATAATATTATTGTAATATTTAATTTTATGTGGTTTAGCTTGTATTTGGGAAATTTTGATTATTATATTTTAATTAGTGAAATGCGTGAAAATACATATTAAAATGGTGTATTGTAGTTTGTATGGGTGAAATAATGTGTGAAATGTCAAAATATTAAATGAGGGACTAATGTATAAATATATGATAATTAGATACTTAAATAGAAGAATGATAAAAAGTTAGTAAAAAGAATAAAAAGAGAATATTCCTTTTTGGTGATGAAAATGGTGTAAAATGTTGGAGATAAAATAATGTTTGATGTGATGTTTACACCATTTTAGTGTAAAAAAATGGTGTAAACTGTTGGAGATGGCCTTAGTCCAAATTCATTTTTTATAAACACAAAGTTAATGATTCAACGTTTTCCACTCATTAATATTAAAAATGACAGAAATTATCCTAAATAGGAGTATAAACGTTTTGAAATTCCAAAATAGGACTATCATGTTTTTTATTTCTTAAATATGAGTAATTTGTCAAGTTTGAAAAAAAAAAGCAATGTTTAAAGCCTGATAATGTCAAACTTGGTAGAAATTTACTTCTATTCAGGGAATAAAAAACATGATAGTCCTATTTTGGAATTTCAAAACGTTTTTACTCATATTTAGGGAATTCTCTCTAAAAAAATTACATACACATAACTAAAATAAGTGTTGTTTATTTTTTTTTTTTTCAATTTTTAGTAAATTTATTAGAGTAATTATTAGTTATATTTTTGTAAAAAGTTGCATTTCATTAGTGTTTTTGAAAAACCCTCTTAATATTAATTATTCAATTTCCGAATTCGGTCTTCCAATTTCGTCTCAATCCATATTTGCTTTATAACACATAATTTTGCTTTATAACACGTCTTTTTAAACCTGGAAGGTAATCCAAACCTTAAATGTCGGCAAGCATTTATCAGATTTCATTGAAAATTAGAATTATATAAAAAAGTGAGAGGAAGACCAAACCTAAACCTCTCGGGAAGAGACATACATCTTGGAAATACATGAACAAACAAAGAGCAGATTACAAGTTGGGATTTAAAAAAAATATTACTAAAATAAAACTTATTTACACAAAAATGACTAATAATGACTACAATGTGATGTCATGGTAACTTAAGTTTAAAAACTGAACATAAGTTACTACGATTCTATTACTACTTTACACACTAGTCACATTTTTGTAAACAATCTTTATTTTAGTTATAAATATGTAATTATTTCTTGAGGGGCCTACAGGAAGGGATGCCAAATAAGTCCATGGTATAGACCCGTTCATTTAGCTAATAATGGAATTTCATACGTTCTGAAATAAGTAGTCAATTGGGCTGAAGAATCATCCGCAAAGTAATGGGCCACCTAATTGCCTTCATGAAGAGTATGAACAAGAGTCTGCTTTCCTTTCTGAGATCAATCTAATTTCCAGAGTAGCGTCTTTCCATCTTAAACAAGAATGTCCCTGACCAACCGAAACTTCAAATTGGAAAGACTTGAAACCCAATGTTGAGTATATATATATATACTAGCGTTGTTACGCGCGGTGCGCGATAACCGTGCCCAATACTTGAAAACAAGGTGAAGAATGGAGTGAAATGTCATATAATAATGTGACTAATTGATTAATGACCTAAAAGCAAAAAGATGGAAAGGGGGGATGTTAATCCAAGGAAGTAAGAGTAAATGGCAATTTAGGCATACAATGCGTCAATGCCCATGTTCTGGTCACAATTGGGAATGGTATCATGATAAAACAACATGTGTAATTAGGCATCCAAAATGGAAAGATGAAATGGGGATATCAACCCAAAGTAACAAAAGAAGTGGACAAGTTAGGGATACAATGTTCATGGCTTGGGAATAAGGACAAAAAAGGCAACAAGTGTGCATGGTTGTAGTTGTTGGAGCAAAGCAATTGAAATGGACACAAAAAGAACAATAAAAAAATAACAAGAGGTTGTTAGCATATCAGCGGTGGACAGCAGGGTGGGCAGATGATGATGTTGCTATCTCGTAACTATGACAGTTCAGTGGTGGATCTTCAACACCGTAACGCGATATGGCAATAAGGCGCACCCTACCCCCGTCATGCTTGAAGAATACGAGGATTGTGCATTTCTTCAGCTGAAAGGTCATTTTAAGTTGGCGCAGTATTGGTCCATCTCCAGTCACCATATATGCGTCGTCTCTTCCAAGGAAAACTTTCAGGCGCCCTTTTGCGTCACTTGCATGGCGCAGGAAAGTTTCACAGCTTTGCTGCAGTGGGGACAAAAGTGAATGTAAGTAAACAAGGTTGTAACATTAATCAGATGGAACAAAAGGTGAGTAATAAATGCAGGGCAAAGAAACACATGTGTAGTTTGTTTAGGAACATAAAAAAACGAGGCCACGCAGTACAGCTGTGCGTATGGGGAATTTGGCAAGCATGACTCAACATACATAAAGAAAGGATCTGTAATGCAGAAGAATAGATGTTAATTTATCAGGCTTGTAATGGACAAGAGCACATCAGCAGGTTGACATTGTTGTAAGTCATTGAAAGAATGTTTTATTGAGGTTGAAAACACTGGTGGGAGGATTTGGGAAGTGGGGGGGGGGGGGGGAATGGATGGGTCCAATGATACACTACAGCTGGTGTAATGGAAAGGAAACATACCTGGTGGAGTTTCATCCATAATAGCATTTGAAGGAGGCGCAGCCAAGTTCAAGACGAACCCATCTCTATCAAATAGTAGGACTTGAAACGTGAAATTGCCGACATGCCTTAACAGAACATGGGAGCCAAAAGGGACATTGTTTTCTATGAAAAACTCTCCAAAGCCATTAGTAAAAGTGAAGTTTTCCACTTTCACAAGAGAAGCTTAGCATACTGGCGGGTGTGTTCTAGCAAATGCATGTGCATGCATGGAGGAATTTTCTGAACAAGAGAAGATGGAGTAAGTACAGATTACTGGGAAACATTACAAACATATAGAAAAGGTAAATGAGCGAGTAAAAGATGAGGACTGTACAACAATTTCTATGTCAGGAATAGTGATCAAGAACCAAACAATAGCAAACTGTAACACGTCAGGGTAGTGAACATCATGTGTTTGTGGGCACACTGTGTAAACCAGTTAAAAAACAAGAAGGTAATAAAATAAAATGATCAAAGTAACAAAGGTGAATGAAAAGCTGAGTGTATATGAGGCAATAAAGAGAACCTGCAAGTTGAGGCATGTAGAATCCACGGTTCATATAGTAGCGGAGTTTGTGTTCTAGTTCTCTTTTACTTCTGAATGTCCGTGGTAAGAGCCTGAAGTAACCCGAAGCGTGTAAAAACATTACCCAGTCTGGGCTCACTCCACAATCAGCTTGGACTCCATTGAAAGGGGCGACAACAAGAACCATAATTTTTCTCCCATGGACTGTGTGAATGTAGTACGTAAAGGAATCATTCCCGCCATGATCTTTTGTTTTTTCAGTCCATCACAACTGTAAATAAATAAGAAAACAACATTAACTTTTAACATAACAAACCTTTACAGAGTATAAAACGAGATTATGGAAAAAGAGAGTTTCATGGGCGAATGATGAATGGGAAAATTATTGTGAACAGAAAAGCATACCTCTAACAATGGTGTTCCACGGGCAATACGCAAGGTGTATGGAAGAAAGGTAATGATTTCGGACTATAAGCATGGTAGCAAACGATGGTTGGGAGCTGTGTTGGGCGACAAAGTGGCGATTGGTTTAAGGAGGCGGTTGAGGTTACCGATTGGGTGAAAGGAGCGGCGCAATAAATGGGGCAATTTAAAGGGAAGAAAACGTTTATTAATTTGAATGGGTGGGGAGTAACAATAAATACAACGTGTAGCCTTTAAATGTGTATCAGTTAATTCTAAATAACATGGGTTATTTTTTTTTTTTTGTTTCAAAGGAAAATGATGCCTATTTTTCACACATAAATGAAAATATATTGGGATCTCAAAATGGAGGAAATTGCTAGGTCCCTCACTTCTAAAATTCAAAAGTCTTTTGCAAGCATGAAGCTGAAAATTTACTTTTACTAAGCAGATTTTGGATAGCTAAAATTCAAAGAAGAGCATAACACAAAAACCTACACGATATGATCAGAAAGTATGACCAGGAAGTGAGTATGCTTACATGATACTAAGATTTCTGGAAATCCAATGGATTGAGCAACTACCAAGTGCTGACCCTTCAAATCCACGGAAAACCATTCTCAATACACTTGATCAAGTTGTTATTGTCTCATTCTCTATCAAAGGCACATATATCTGCCATTTTACTGAACAGAAAAGAAGATATTCATACTCACTCATGGAAAAAATAGATAATTACCATTACGATTTTATCATATGAAAAACAGGTAATCACCTGTTCAAATTTTATCTATCCACTAAATGAACAAGTTCTTTTTTTCATTTTGAGTGGATGAATATGGCTGAAATTATGCCTGGTATTGGTCAAGTTGCTGAAATTGCATAACTGAAAAAATAGCATAGAAATATATTATTGATGAAATAAATAACATGTATATGGAAAATGTCAATATGATCCTCTCAATTAATTCCAGCAACTTTGGGAAAAAAGGCCCCCAACTCTGCTTTTTCTCTAATGACCAATTCGGTGTACATTTAGTGTTTGGCAAATAATCTTACCATAACTCTAATAAGCCTAAGGTGTGGCGTCAAAAATGGCTACCTAGACTTCTAGGCTTCTACAGGGTTAATATTTTAAAACCTTTCCTATCTAACCCATAGTTTTTTTATTGTTTTTACAGAAACATATAATTCATTTCCAGGTTCCTCTTCGTAAATAAAGGTGCTCAGCACAGGTCCCATCATAGCCTTAGAATATCCACGAGATGCACTGTCACTTTCTTCCCTATTGTTCTTCTATCAGACGTAAGGCCTTTCTATAAGTGTTTAAATCACAAAAGGAAACATTAAATTATGGAAAAAATGAAATTTGATAAGTAAAAAAAATAGTTTACCTATCAAGTTGAAAATGGGATCTCAATAAATCGATATCTTTGCAGGTATAATTAGATGCACACATGCAAAGTTAGCAAAATCGCATAGAGCATGAGGTTGCGACATGATCAGGTGTGGTGTTTCACAAATTGCATATGGCCAAGATTCCAAACATATGAAAAATATGAAATGGGAGATGAGAAGAAAGCATCCTCACTCACTTCATAGGCAGAGAGCATTCCAGCGCTTAGGAAGAATGAGAAGAAAGAATTCTGAAAATCAAAGAATGGAAAATGAATCGGGAAAGCACCCTCACTCACTTCATAGCCGGAGAGCATACTAAATGTGTTAAGCATCCATTACTTTTAAGGCAGGCACAGACATATCCGATTTGAGGTGGACACTTCTGGTGAAACACAGAATGGTACAGAATGACTGCATGAAAACCATTAAAAGTTTCCACATATCCAATAGGTCCAAGAAAACATGAAAAAATAGAATTCAGAGGAGAGCCTTATTACCATATGCTCTGTCATCTTCCCGTCTCCAATAGTGTTGCAGAAGAAAATCTCTTCCCTTCATACCCCTATAATGATACATGTTAGTTACTGTCCACTCAAAGTGAAGAACTCGCAAAAACACTGGATTTAAAATAAGCATCAGACCAAGGAAGCCAATCACGATGCAGACACTTATGAACTATAGCTGTATGACCATCAAGATGTTCAAGCATACTGCCCTTGTATAAACAAAAGTCCCACCTGCAAGAGAGGCAATATGCATATTATCTACATAGTAACTTGGAACATTAAAAAGATGAGACGATCCACGTGTCCCGCCTGGATGATATCTATCAATTAAACTTGTTCTTCACTGCACCGTCTACAACGAGCATTAGATTTTCAGGAGCATTAGTAATCCCTCCTGAAATTCAAATTAAAAAGGTAAACTATTATTAACATACATTATCTATTCAAAAATCACAAACTTTAGAAGACATTTATGCATTTCAAAATCTAGGGTACCGTAAAACTAATTTATTTCATAGACGCAGACATCCTAAGAAACTTGACTGGGTTAAAACTTGACTGTGTTTTCTAGTTTGTGTTCTTTCATGTCTTCACAAACTGTTTCAATTCCAAGAGAATTAAAATGTTGGCCAGGGTAACAGTAGCACACTTTTCCCACTTTCAAAATCAATATATTCTTATACCTGAAAGAAAATCAAAAGTATTTGATTATTGTAGCTGAGAAACAGATTGTATAAGAAAATCGAAATCAAATTTTATGTAATGATTCTCCAATTAAAGAGGGAAACAGATTGTATAAAGTTATAAACATAGTATTGGAGTGCTATGCAAAGATCAATAATCAAATTTTCATGTTAATTGCTGCTATATTAGAAGTAAGTAACAAACAATCTAAAAGAATGTGAGCATTGTTCACTGCTTGAGCATATCACATAAGCTGGAGATAATCTTTTAATACATTTAGGTGACTGTTGCTTGCCGGTAGTTGTTCGTTGTCTCAACAGGAATCTTAGACTGAAATTTAAGAGGAAGAGTATAGATATCCTTACATAATTGAAGGTCAACAGTATAATAAGTGTGTATGTAAATGCAATCAAGTAAGCATCAGTGAGAATAAAAAACGGATGAACTTCACAAGCTCTTTTAGTTCCTTCTCAATATTTCGTTTACTGGAATCCATGTGATCCAAAACCCCTTGGGGGTAAAATAGGACAAAGAAACGAACAGAATGGAAGAGGCCATGTATGTCAGTTTTAAAGTTCTCAACATGAAAACATGTCTGTTGAATAAACATTATGGATATGAGAGAACTCACATTGGCAAGAACTGCACATAATAGCCAAAACTATTATATAGAACTTTCACAATCTCCTCGGGACTAAAAATACAAGAATAGTTAGCACTCCATTCTTTAATACAGTCAGACACGCAATTCTAACTTTGAATAAGATGGCATGTGAGAATAGCTCAAGTAATTTGACTGTAAAAATGTGTACAGACTACATGACGTGAATCAATTTCCTCAATACCTTGAAGAAGAATCTCTGAGTCTTTAATTTTCACACCCTATTCTTCCCATTTTCATAATAGAGCAGTCCTAGCTTTTTATCAAACCAGTTTCTTTTACTTGAACGACGAACTTCAAATTTATGCTACACAAAAAAATCTAATCAACAAGTTATCTAATCAATTTAATATGTTCATAACGTAATGAATAAACAAAAAATGGTATGCTATGTTTTTAATTTTCAATAGTTAACCAAACAGCTCTTGTTGAAATTAATTAAATGTATACCTATACAAATGAGTAGCAACGGACCGGATTGTCTAAAGTGACCTGAATGCAAACAAAGGTGTAATTACAGCACTTATAATTTTGAGTGATTGAAATAAAGAGGGGTACTTAAAAAAAGGCTTCAAATAAAAAATGAACCAATTACCTTTCATCAAAATTTTATGCAAAACACCCAAATGAGTATCAAACAATCTTCAATTCTTCACCCTATGCTTCTAGTTTTCATAATGGAGTAGTTCCAGCTTCTTATCAAATCGGCTTCTTCTACTTCAACAACGAACTTCAATTTTATGCTACTAAGCCCCTGCATTATACAACGACAAAACTAATCAACAAGTTATCTAATCTAATCAATTTAATATATTCCCAACTCAATGAATAAACAAAAAAATAGCATGCTCTGTTTTTCAATTGTGCACTTATTGATGTGATGAGACACCTGAAAATATAACCATGTATAAGAATTGAAATATAAACAATGAAAGAAGCAAATATGTTAAGAATAAATAAATGTCTTGCATTCCAACTAATTATTCATCATTTCTCAATAGTAGGCAGTTCAGTTGGAACAACAACACCATTGCCTACTGTCCCATATGGGACTGCCGTAGGCAGTTCACAAGCATTCCCAATTTCCTTCAGGTTTGCACTTAATAGCCCAATACATTCATCTTTTTCCAGCGAGGGTGCAGGAGCAGTAGGTTACCCATGTTTGGCTAACACCACCAATGTATACGAGTATTATTCAATAGCTAACAGTTAAATAGATCCAGCTAAAATAGTCGTCAATCCAATAATGTAAAATAACTCGACAAAGAAAGGAGCAAAAGACTATTTTTCTTAACAAAAAAAAAACAAAAATGGACGGGAACGACCTACCGAATTCCAGGCGGAGCCAAGCCGGGCATGGGTTTCGTTGTTAGGTTGGTCATCAAGGTTGAGTTTCCGGGGAACTGGAAGGGGTGCAGCGTCTGATGTCTTTTCCCTAACCCAGTAGGTATATGACGACGACGCCGGAGCTTTGGTCTTTCCCTTGGCGGCAGCTCCACCCCCTCCATTTCTACTACGGAGTACAACTGTGGATCGAATAACAACATATATTAAATATCGGTGTAAAAAAAGCATCGCGAATTGGCCGTCGACGGGAAGCTAGGCGGCTTTGGCGAAGGAATTCGGAACCCTAGCCCTGCGTACATCGAGCAAACAATGAAAAGCGGAATTTGGAAAATGAATTGGGAAAGGATAGTGACTCACTTCATAGGCGGAGAGCAACAAACGGCGTTAATTAATCGAGACTGTTCAAACGGTAAAAGGGTCATGCTAACCATTACTCGCACTTAACATTTTTAGTATATATATATATATATATATATATATATATATATAGAGTGCTCTTCATGTCAGGCCGGCCTGACGGGCTGCCCCGTCCGGCCGAGCCCGTTTGGGCACCTTCCCGGTGGAATTTTTTGATGAAATTTTTTGAGCACGTTCCTCATCAAGTCTAGTTTGTCCATACCAAATTTCAGCTCAAAATTCGATCGGGAAGGCATTCAAATCATTTTTTGAAGTTGACTGCATCAAAATATACATAGAAAACTGCAGTCAACTTCAAAAAATAATTTGAATGCCTTCCCGATCGAATTTTGAGCTGAAATTTGGTATGGACAAACTAGACTTGATGGGGAACATGCTCAAAAAATTTCATCAAAAAATTCCACCGGGAAGGTGCCCAAACGGGCTCGGCCGGACGGAGCAGCCCGTCAGGCCGGCCTGACATGAACTTTCCTCTATATATATATATATATAGACAAATCTTCATGTCAGGCCGGCCTGACGGGCTGTTCCGTCCGGCCGAGCCCGTTTGGGCACCTTCCCGGTGGAATTTTTTGATGAAATTTTTTGAGCATGTTCCCCATCAAGTCTAGTTTGTCCATACCAAATTTCAGCTCAAAATTCTATCGGGAAGGTATTCAAATCATTTTTTGAAGTTGACTGCAGTTTTATATGTGACCAGTTAACTTGCAAAAATCATTTGACGACCTTCCCGATCGAATTTTGAGCTGAAATTTGGTATGGAGAAACTAGACTTGATGAGGAACATGCTCAAAAAATTTCATCAAAAAATTTCACCGGGAAGGTGCCCAAACGGGCTCGGCCGGACGGGGCAGCCCGTCAGGCCGGCCTGATGAGAAGAGCCCTCTATATATATATATATATTAATCTACTGAAATCATATGGGTAGTAAAAGGAATAGAAACCCCCTGGATCCCGAATATGATTATAATAAGCTTTCCAAAATATTCCAACAAATGATATCCAAAAGATTACGCTTCAAAATATCTTTCAGACTTAAGCTACAAAGAGTCAAAGAGAAAAACACCTGCCTAATAAAGCTATCACGTCCAGGAATGGATAGGGATGGCCTCGGGTCTGTTTTGATGGGCCCGAGCCCGAGCCGGTGGCCACCGGTTCCGGGCCGGACCGGGCCGGGCCACCCGGTTAGTTTTTCAAGCCCAACTCAATAAAGCCCAAAAAAATGAAAAAAAAACAGTTTTTGGCCCGGACCCGGGCCCGGCCCGGCCGGGCCGGTTCGCCAAATACAAGGCCCGAGCCCGGACCCGCCCCCCCACCGGGCCTAGGCCCGACCCGGACCCGAGAACCGGGCCGGTTCCGGGCCCGCACAGTGGCGGGCCGGGCCGGTCCCGGGCCGGGCGGCCCGAACCGGGTCCATGACTAGGAATGGAAAGGCAAAAAATCCCCATGGGATTTTTCCTGGTCGAATAAAGTTTTGTGTTTTTTTCCTTGTCTACCGTCTCTGATCGTATTGTTTTATCGAAAAATTTCACCGGGAACCACCCCAAATGGCGTCGGTCGTACAGAGCATCCTATATATGGAGTATTTTTTTGTAAGTTCGAGGCCCTATCTAACCCTTATCCCTTTCATTTTCTATTTTTTTAAATTTTCGTTAACACATTTTCTCCGGAAGCCAAGGCCTCTGGTCTCGTTTTCCTCCTAATTATTTCAACCAAACACACCCAAATCTTTATATGTGTACTCTATCACCTTGCTCCAACCAAACAGCGCCTAAAAGAATAATAACTTGTGGAAAGACATCAGCGTGTCCACCGACCATCATCCAGAGCCTGATGATGTGCCGAGTATCACATTCCTTCTGCTATTATTATTCGTTTTTGGTTGTGTTAGTAGAAACACGAGTCTTTCCTCTTCTAACACACACAGAAAATTGGAGAAGAGAGAAAAAGCGATCTTTCTCACAGAACCACACTTCTTCGGTTCTTCCGTTCTTTGTTACGCCCAGGTACCCACTCCTTTAAGCGGCCTACTCTGTTTGGCTCTTATTTCTTATGCTCGTAACTCGGGGGACTCTCTGGCTTCTCTTTTGGTATCAATTAACTGGTTGAACCTGTTCTGGTTTTCATTTCTTTTTGAACTCTGTGGTTCTACTTGTAGTTTTTCTTCTGGGTGTCGAGTTCGATCAAATGTGCTATTATCCTATTCACCGTGTGAACTACTCGTGTCTTTTTTAAAACGATGATGAAAGTTTTAGTTTCCTCTTGAGTTGCTAATATGGGTTGTAGCCTTTTAGGTTTATTTACGTTTAGTTTACCTGTGTGTGCTTTGTTAGAAATTCAAACTGATATTTGTGGAATCCAAGATATCTATGAGTGGATTTTGCAGGGTAATTAATAGCTGACGGTTTGTTCACAGATGGGGAAGGGTTCCAGGAGCTACGCACCTGGCAGGTCATCATCGTATCAGATCTTCAAGGACAGGGCTAAGAACAGGGTTGATGATCTGCAAGGGATGCTCACCGATCTTCAGTCTCTCAGGAAGGAGAGCCGAACTATTGAGGTGGCGGTTCTTGAGGAGCAGCTTAATCAGATGCTCCGTGAATGGAAGTCAGAGCTGAACGAGCTTTCCTCATCTTCCTCCTTGCAGGTTGAACAAATTATTCTGCCAATTTCATAGAATCGCTACTTGAACAATAAAGAGCTTCAATTCTTTTATATTGCTGGACTGTTGGTGCACAATATAAGTTCTTAGTTATATAATGAATATATCTTACAAAATGTGGTCACTAATCACTATGCTCACAGAGTAGATAGGTAATGTATGATGTATGTGAGTTTGGATGTTTTTACTTGGACTGTAATCTGTCCAGACCAGCTCAAACTTAGATAGTTATAAAAGTACAAAGAGACCAGACATTATCAGACCAGTTCATGCCAGATTAGACTAGACCAGACCAGCAAATTACAGTCCAACATCCTATGTCTGACCTGCTAAGTAATACTGTATATATGAATGTCTCCAGTGATCACTTTCATACATCCCTTATCCCGAAAAAGGTTAATGTTTCACAAAGGTACAACTTTTTTACATTAGTATGGTACAACTTTTTAACTTCAGTAAGGTACAACTTTTGGAAATTGTTAATTCTAACTGTATTTTCAGCTTTATTGTTTGGTTGAACCAAATATGACATACTTAACCTCCGTGTGGCACTTTTAAAAAAAATACATTAAAATGAGTGAAAATTGGCTTCTTTTGGTACTTAGGGAGTAAATTATTAGTTTATGCTAGGTACTCCAACAATAAACAGTAATGAAGGAGCAGAAAATAGGAGGAGGAGGAGGAGGCTCTTCAAGAGTTCTCTCTCCCAGCCCAGTTCTAAAATCCCAGCCTCCTTCCCACTTCCCTTTTCCACTTCCCTTCTTCCTGTGTTTATTCATATCCTAGCATCAAACTGCCAACTCAAGGTGGAAGTAGGGAAACAAGGATGATGTACAAGAATGTGTCAACTATCGAGGGATTAAGCTTATGAGTCACACCATGAAACTTTGGGAGCAAGTGGTTGTGCAAAGACTTCGAAAGAGTGTGAAAATTTCGGAGAACCAGTTTGGTTTTTATGCCTGGACGCTCAACCACTGAGGCTATTCACCTTCTTAGACAAGTTGTGGAGAAGTATAAAGACACTAAAAAGGATCTGAATTTGGTGTTCATTGACTTAGAGAAGACATATTATAGGGTACCTCAAGAAATCCTTTGGTAGGCCTTAACTAGAAAATACATATCATGTAAGTATATGAGTATCATCATGGATATGTATGAGATTTGTACTACAAGTGTCCGTACTAGTGTAGGGAGGGTTGCAAAGTTCCCTATTACCATCGGAGTGCACCAAGGATCAGCTCTGAGTCTTTTCTTATTTGTTATAGTCATGGGTGATCCTAAGAAGTCAATTCAAGAAGATATATCGTGGTGCCCGATGTTTTTGTATTGATTGATGAGACACAACGGGTGTTAAAGCTAAGTTGAAAGTATGGCGACAAACATTGGAGACCTTTCCACTTTGCTTCCTCCTGTTTTTATTCATACCCTAGCCTCAAACTGCCAACTCAGTTCTTTTGTTATTTATTCCCTCCATTATTTTTGTCTCTGACTACTTCACTAACATATCTGTTATTCTCACTACTGTAAAGGTTTGATAATGGTGTCTCTTGTTGATGCATGTGTGTGTAGATGTGTAAATGTGGAAGTGAAGCTGAATTTGTGCATAGTCCTTTTTGTATGGTAGTGCAATTGAGCTTATCATTGCTTTTGTTATGGCATAATGTACTTCTTTATGGTTTTTTCCTGTATGTACATTTTAGATTGTGGGCTTTGACGCTTAAGTTTGCAGGGGGGGAGTCTGGCGTTTAACACATCAGACCTTTGTAGGCTGGTGCAACTTGGTGAGGAGGAAGATGATGCCACCAGTACATTAGATGCACCCAAGCATGAACCTGGTGCACAAAAAGTTTATGCTGCCTGTTATCCAGAGGTATGATAAATTATCTGCACTCCTTTTATAGAGTTTTTAAGCATTAAAAGTTTTGGCCATAGTAAAATTTTGATATTATGACATATTCAAACTATGAGAAAAGTTGATTTCTCCACAGGCTGCTGTTTTAAATTTTAACCACTACACCATATGTTTTAGAGGGCAGATTAGTTCCAAAAGGCGTGAGGCAGCATGACGCGTTTTGGTTAATTTTACCCTAATTTTCACGCACCATTTCTTTATTGTTGCTTCTTACTGTTCATTGCTTGCTCTCTTTTCTTCTGAATCATTTTTCTGTACATCTATATGTCATTTTCCTCTCTTTTGAAATTTGTAACTGTTTCTCCTAAACTTAGCATAATAAGAGTTTAGGTGTTGTTCTCTTTACTTTTTCTTATTTTAATTAGACCAGAAGCATAACATTCAAATCAGATTGGAAATATAACTTTCAATTTAGACCAGAAACCTAAGATTCAAAGACCAGAACAAAAATTCAGATCATTTTAGACCGTACCAGATGTTATTCTTTAAACAACAAAAATCAAATAAAATGAGAAACATTGATATTGGACAAGTTAGACCATAACATCCAGGCCAGACTGGAAATAATTCAGATCACATTCTTTCACCTAAGAGAACACTTTCTAGTGGCATATTGTGTTAGAGAAACTTCACTGCACTTTATATTGTCTATATGCCACAGGGTCTCAACGAGACGCCAGTGCTTCAGGGACAACATTTCCAGCTGGTTGATCGATGCAAGAGCAATAACATTGGTGCTGACAGCGTAAGGATCAACAATATGGGCATTCCAGCACAGTTTGACTATCAATCATATGAATTTCATCAAGAGTATGGGCAGCACTACTTCCGTGGGTTCGATGCTGGGACTCATTGCCTGGAGGAAGACCTGCCTGTGGTTCATATTAGCCCCCCACCTTCTGCCTTTTTAGGGCCAAAGTGTGCACTTTGGGACTGCCCAAGACCTGCAATGGGGTCCGACTGGTGTCAGAAATCTCATGACTATTGCAGCGATTATCACCGTTCCCTTGCTCCAAATGAAGGTTACCATGGGCATCCCCCAATTTTAAGACCGATGGGCATTGGCTTGAAGGACAACTTGCTCTTTCAAGCTCTTAGTGCTAAAGCACAGGGTAAGGATGTCGGCATTCCAGAATGTGAGGGCGCAGCAACTGCGAAATCGCCGTGGAATGCACCTGGTGAGCTTCAGTTACTCCTTTTTAATTTAGTGGTGTAATTTAAAGCTCCCCCAAACTCTTGTTAGCTGACCCCGAACTAGGGTTGTAAATGAGCCAAACCGCTCGTGAGCCGCTCGAAAAATGCTCGACGCAAGTTCGCCATGTTTAAGCTCAGCTCGAGTCCGGCTCGACTCGAATAATTAACAAGCTCGATTCAAGCGTACTTATTTTAGGCTCGTGGCTTGCGAGCCTGTTCGCGAGCCTTGATGTGTATGTATACATATACTATATGTAATAATTATATACTATGTATATTAATATTAATACTAATATTAACATATATAATATTTGCAATATATATTAAATTAGGAATATTTATTTTAATTTAGGATAGTTATTTATATTCTTAGAAATAAGTATTACTCCGTATATTATAATAGTAAATATTTATAAATATAATACTACCTCCATCTTACTAAGTTTGGGACAATTCGGTTTACGATGCTTGACCTACGATAAAGCAAACAAATCCCGTCTGCTCTCATTTTTTTTTACATATTTAGAAACTGCATTAAAAACTTCATAAAGTCGCAAAAACCAGAACCAAATTTGATAAAAATTTGATATATAAAGTAAGAGATTAAGAGTGATTTGTGTTGACCAAGTGAATAGTGTCTGGGACAATCTTAGCGGGACGAGGAAGTAATATTTATTATTATAACCATGATCTGTAATATGTAGTAAATGTTAGTTTTTTATTTAGTTCATATGGTATATTATTAACCTATAATTCGTGACCAATATTGTCATAACATGATGATGAGTGGAGTTGGAAGTCTCCTTAGAGGAGCCAATGGCCACCCGGGTTCGAATCCCCACATTGCAAGCTTTTAGTCTGTTGTTGGTAGTCAAGCATTCCATATGTTTTTTAGACTTCTCACTTTCATTTGTCCCACACCGGTAAGTGAGGACAATGTAACTCTACCTTCCATTTATAAATTCGATCATCTCCGGTTCTCCACCTCATTATTAAGATTTAAGGCCCCAGGCAAGCAACATATTTGCTAAGACTGGGATCAATGCCTTAGCTAACGAGCTGATTTCGAGTGGATCGCTAGCTTAGCTAAATTATTCGAGTCGAACTCGAGTTTTAATTTATGAGCTCGAGCCGAACTCGAGCATATAAAATATTTTGGAGCTCGAGTTTGGGCTCAGTCGGCTCGTATGCACCCCTAGCCCGAACTCTTTTGGGACTATGGCCTGGATATTGTCGGTTATACCCGTTCAGCCCCATGTCAACCAAATAACCCTTACCAAACATGCTCTCAACCCTGTTTTCTTTTTAAAAAATTTCAAATCTTATGTTGAATTGGTTCACTTTTGCTTGGCAGAGCTATTTGATCTTAAAGTGATCGAAGGTGAAACAATAAGGGAGTGGCTTTTCTTTGACATGCCCCGTAGAGCATTCGAGAGTGGGAATAGAAAGCAAAGGTCATTGCCTGATTACAACGGTCGGGGGTGGCATGAATCAAGGAAGCAGGTCATGAATGAGTTTGGGGGACTGAAGAGATCTTATTATATGGACCCACAGCCTATGAAAAACCTTGAGTGGCACCTTTATGAATATGAAATCAACAAGTGTGACGCTTGTGCTTTGTACCGATTGGAGCTCAAACTGGTTGTGGATGGAAAGAGGATTCCAAAGGGAAAAGTAAGTACAGCGTCGGTTGTTGATCTGCAAAAGAAAATGGTGAGACTCACAGCAGAATTTCCTCTGGATAACAAATGCCCCCTTGTGAAAGGTAGGACGAAAAATGGCAACTTGATTCCCATTTCAGACCAATTGATTCCGGTTCCTGAAGGGTTGTTTGTGTACCCTTCTACGGCGCCATATGACTATCTTATTGACAATGTGAGCAGTTACTATTAAAGTATTAATCTAACATAAATTTGAAGACCATTGTGAGTTTCTCGTCGGCTTGACAGTCGTATTTTTCTGCCCGGCTTCACAGCAGACGAGGTTTATCAAGTTGTCTCCGCATCAGTGTCACTGATAAGACCTTGGTCTATTTATGTTTCATGATGGTTATGTATTTAATAATGTATTTTGTTTTGTCGGTGAAGCTTGGTTCCAGCTCCGTGCCATAAAATGGCCATAAAATGTACAGATACATGAACAATATTTCTGGAGCTCCCTCTGATGCCCTTCTCAATGTAGTTGCGATTTAATAATATCTTTCCATATGTTCTTTCAAGCATTTTCTATCTCGTCAGAATGATCTTATTGAGTCCTAAAACTAGTATTCAAACTTCACTTTCGAAATACGGAGTAATAAGGATACACACAAGAGGTTGGTAAGAAATGAGGGGCAATGCTCCCTAACCTAAATGGGTCTAGCTATGAAGCAAATGTTGTAGTATTTGATTTGAACAAATTCTGCTATATTGTGTTCCCTTAAGGCATTTTATATCTCATTATAGTGATTTTATCGAGTTCTAGCACTTGTATTATATTGAGGCTTTGTTAACGACGTATTCCAGGATTCACACCTTTTACAGTGAAATTGAAACAGATTCTATTTACCCCATTTATGTTCTATTTGGTGCCAACTATGCTCTATTTGCTCGGAAGTCGTTACACGGTATATTTACATAAAACAAACTAAGGAGTTGTTTGATTCGCTGCTACAATTATAGTTAGGTTAGTAAGACAAGTAAGTGAACACGCAAACTGCTTACAAAGCTGCTTACTAACTGAAAGAGGTGCTTAAAGTATCATTTACTAAGTATATCATCCATATGTATTAATTAAGCGACACTTTAAGTTTTTTCAGTTCCTGAATTTGTCCTTACACTTACCTTTTGCCTTTACCCTATTGAGACCATTTGTAGTGGTGAGGTATTAGGAGTCCAAAATGTTAAATGTGGAACTTTTGGACTCCTAATTGTGTGTAGTGGTGGTTTATATGGGGTATTAAAAGTGGGAAAGGGGATGGAAGGTGTTAAATATAGAGGGTGAGTTTAGAGGAGTGGAAAAAGAAAAAATAAAGAAAAAAGGCACGGCCACATGTTTTCTTTTGGTGAGGATGATGTCATGGCGTCACCCTTGCATCATTATATCCCAATTTTTTCTAAACCTATATAACTTTTTTATTTGTCATTTAATTTTTTCAAAAAATATATCAAAATTCATAAATTTTTATGATCTTTCATATGACATCCATATGTGATATATAAAATGATTTTATTTTGAAATTTTAATTGTTACAGTTTATTGAGCTAAAAAAATGAAACAAGAATTCTTAATTCATGAAACCTTCACAAATAATTGAATATTCTATAATCAAACTTCACTTAAACAAATACATTTTTTTAACAGAAAAATGTTAAAAAAAAATTATGAAAATTATTTATTTTTACATCAAAATGTGTATTTTTTATTTCATAATTATTCAGGGAAAAAAATTAAAAGTAAAACATTACTTATAATAATTTAATTAATATTTTACTAAATTCATATGTAAAAATATGCAGAGTGTATTTTATTGACGGTGCACGGATGCAGGGAAAAACAGTATTGACGGAGTCTAAACATTGTTTTCAAATTGACGGAGTCCAAATTTAACTATTTGGACTCTTGACCACTACAAATGGTCTGACACCCCTCTACCCGCTACCCCCCATCTCTTAGCCCCTACCCTCGATCCCTTACCCTACCCTCACCCAACTCGCGTATACTCGTATCCCTTGCCCTACTCAACCCTAACCCCTACCATCCTGCCCCAACCTTCACCCCACCTACCCCTGCTCTACCTTGACCATGCCCATCATCTTTATCTTGTGGATAATGCTTAGCACTACCCTGACCCTACCCCTTTAACCCATACCTAGACCTCACTTTGACCATGACCCTACCCCCAACTCCTAATCCCATTCTACCCCAAAACCCGACCATACCCTTACCCCACCACCACCACCCTTACCTACCCTGACCCTACCCCTTTAACCCTGACCCCCTACCACCCACCTCGATCCCGATCCCCACCCTTACCCATCCTACCTCGGACATACCCTTTACCCCACCCCACCCGTAACCTTACCTATCCCCTTTACCCCTATCACTTGCCCTTACCTCGACCCCGCCTTGACCTCACCCTATCCTACCCCCCTTACCCAACCCTGACCCTACCCTTTTATCCCATACCACCTGCCCCTGCCTTGAGTATGAGTATGAGGGTTGTAGGGGAGTACCAGAGTTGGGGTAGAGGGTAAGGGCGTGGTATGGGTAGGGGTAGGGAAAGGGTCAAGGAATTGGGGGTGGTAGGGTGTAGAGTAGGGGGTAGGGGTGGGGATACGGGGTATAAGGGGCACGGTACAGGTTAGGGGTAGGGGTACGCATACGAGGCGACCCGCACATATTATATTATATACTTGTGTTAATAAATGTTTGTGTATCTATATATGTATAAGGTTATTTTGGACATTTTAATGTTAAACAGTGTTTTAAATCCTTTGAAGTAAACATGAGCTTACAAAACCGCTTATTTTATGCACCACTTATAAACGCGAATCTTAATAAGCACTGTTTAGTAACCCGTGAAGTAAACATATCCTAAGTCTTTGAGTTGATCATATTTTACCTAGGGATGGCAACATGGCGGGTTTGGGGCGGGGTTTCACTCCTCCATCCCCACCCCATGTCTAAAAAGTTCCCCCATCCCCACCCCCACTACTCCCTGACCCGCCCCACCCTGTTGTCCCCTACGGGTGCCCGCAAGTGCTCCTATATAGATTTTATTTATCTTATTTTCATTTTTAACCCATTTTATAGATTAATGTAAATATATAGCACTAAAAGAGGTAAACTAGATATGTTGTGTTTGATAAAAGTTAACTGCCAATTTTTAATAACTCCTTAATTTGAATAATTTTTGTGAAGATAATAAAAGTTAAAATTTAAGTAAACATATTATCATCATGTATGTCGTTACAAATTTCTCATCAATTATAATACAATTAATTATATATCACACACACACACATGCATATGTGTTCTATTTGCTCATTTTCTCATTTTTAAAACTCATATAACATTTATGATAAGTATTTTTAGTTATTAATTACGTATTATTATTCCGATATAATATGTATTAATTCATTAACCATGAATAATACACATATATACATTTATATATGTATATATGTATATGTATGTGTTTGTTATATATTACATGCTCCATTATTTACTTAAATATGTTTATACATTATCTAATATTGATGGTCCCGGATAGAGGTAAAAGTCTAGAGGGGGGGGGGGGGGGGGGTGAATAGACTTTTAAAATCTTTTTCAACTTTGTGAAGTTTTCCCTCTAGAAGAGTTGATCTATAATCTTTCAAGAGATTAATAGATGCACAGCGGAAGTCTTTAACCTCTTTATACTTGGTGTGAGACAACTTTCTAGTTTAGATGATATTTAGACTGGTGACAAGAGGAAGTAGGCTTGGCAGTAGACTGGTGAGCAGATAACTGCTTAGTCTACTGCTGCACAGGCAGTTTGCTGACTGGCAGACAACTGCTGAATTGGCAGTTGGCTGGTGGGCAGGTTACTGCTGAGGCAACTGTTAAGAACAGGATGACTTTTGGATAGCTTTTTGTTCTGGCTTGTTATGGCGTTCGGAAAGACACATATAAATGGGCAGTGGGCTCAGCAGGAGGGTGAAGACCAGGGTACTGCTGAGGCACCTTCTGAGTGTAAGATAACTTCTAGTGGAAAATACTCTCAAGGAGAGTGAGCTATTAAGCAGTAGGCTAAGCAGTACAGTCGATGAAGACTACTGCTTAGGATGCTGCTGGCAAACTACAATCCTTTAGTGAGATGTGTTTGGTGTGTGCTTCTGTATGTATGAAAGTAAACCAACACACGATATATCCTGGTTCAGAGGTGGTGTAATCCTCCTACATCCAGTCCCACCCTATTTCAGATGGATTTCCACTAAAGTATTCAGCCCAATACAATTAGTGCCAATCTAGCCTTGACAACTCTGGCCTAGATTGAAGGTTTTTCACGATGAGTATAACACCACTCAAAGTTACTCAGTCCTTAGACTTTTCTCGATTGATCCAGTGGGGATCAAAAGGTACTCTATCTATCTAACCACACTTTAGGATCCGAACAACTGTTCTCCTAAGTGTTTACAACAACATGAATTGATTCACGAAGTGTCTAACCTCCAACTAAAACCTAAGCTCTATAAATGTTACAATGAATGATCTAGTCTAAGAGCTTAGTGAAGCATGAGTCAAAGCAGAGTGTTCAAGCACTTTTTCTTTTGCTGGATATGCGTAGTGTAATGACTGAACCACTTGCTTTGAACTCAATGACTTACCTTTGATCTCATGCTTCTGCCTATTTTTATAGGCATCTCCAGTAGATTAATCTCCTCCGTTGGTTAAGAGGATTTAATCCTAGACGTCCAAAGTATTGTACTTGCGTCTTCTTGTGTTGGAGCAGGATAAGGATTTGTCTTTTGAAGACCACTTGCTTTGTACGAAGATAACACCCATACTTTAGGCCTTCTTGTCGCTGCATGCCTATTCTGAAACTCTTCACTATTCACCTAATCAGATATCTTCTCTCCTCTTGCGTTCTGAGAGTATTAGCCTTGTCTTGCAACTACACTTGTAAAGCTGAGTGCGTGAACCTGCTCAATTTGTATAGTGAAGTAGTAAAATGTGTGACTTTGAATATTTTGTATCAAATGGGTTTTGTACTGGTAGGATCTTTGAAATATCCTATTAAGGTAATAGGATTACCTTATTGCATTTTGTTCTTTCCAGTACAATTTATTTGGTACAAATTTCACAGTAAAATTTGTCACTTATTTTACTAATCACTTTCTTTCTTTAAGTGACATGATTAAACTCATGTACCAAATTAAAGCTATACTGGTTGGATCTAAATGTCCACGTAAGGTAAATAATTTTTACCTTATTGCATTTTATAGTTCCAGTATGTTTAATCTGATACATAGTTTGTACATTGGAATTCTTGTCACTTTTAAGTACTTGTGTAGTTTAGCAGGTATTGTGTACAACTTAACTGGTAGGATAACAAATCCTATTAAGGTAAAAGTTATTACCTTATTGCATTTTGTGTTCCAGTTGGTTGTTCACTATTCTTGTTCACTTTGATTTATCTATATATCAAATAACACTTTACTGGTTGGATTTAAATATCCAATTTTAAGATAAAGACAACTTTA